TGATGATGATGATGATGATGATGATGATGATGATGATGATGATGATGATGATGGTGATGATGATGATGATGATTCAGCCCACCTGGAATCCCAGAAGAGCAATGCCCAACATGAGCAAGATCTGTCCTAACATGACAGTGAGCTGGGTCAGCACGTGTGACATCATGATCTCCAAGGCGGACACACCTAGAGAGAAGTGATGGGTGAAGTTTTGAGGTTTTGAGTTTGTGTGTTTGCTTTTGTTTTTTGTTTGTTTGTTTGTTTGTTTGTTTGTTTGCTTGCTTGTTTGTTTGTTTGTTGTTGTTGTTGTTGTTGTTGTTGTTGTTGTTGTTGTTGTTGTTGTTGTTGTTGTTGTTGTTGTGTGGTTGCTGTAGATCTCAAGGGCAGACACACCTGGGTGAGGTGATGGGTGGGGTTTTGAGGTGTTGTTTTTGTTTTTGTTTTTATTTTTCATTTTGTTTTTCTTTCGTTGATTTTGTTGTTGTTGTTGTTGTTGTTGCTGTTGTTGTTGTTGTTGTTGTTGCTGTAGCTGTTGTTGTTGCTGCTGTTGTTGTTGTGGTTGTTGTTGTTGTTGTTGTTGTTGTTGTTGTTGATCTCAAGGGTGGACACGCCTAGGACTGATGGGTGGGCGTTTGGATTTTTGTTTTTGTTTTTGTTTCCGTTGTTGCTGCTGGTTTTCTTGTTGTTAGGAGTGGTGGTGTTGTTGCTGTTGTTGTTTTTGTTGTCAGGAGTGGTGGTGTTGTTGCAGTTGTTGTTTTTGTTGTTAGGAGTGGTGGTGTTGTTGCTGTTGTTGTTTTTGTTGTTAGGAGTGGTGGTGTTGTTGCTGATGTTGTTTTTGTTGTTAGGAGTGGTGGTGTTGTTGCTGTTGTTGTTTTTGTTGTTGTTGTTGATCTGAAGTGCCAACACGCTTGGAAAACAGGATGGGTAAGGTTTGAGTTTTTGTTTTTGTTTTTTATGTTGTTATTGTTGTTGCTGATGTTTATTGCTGTGGTTTGGTGTTTTTGTTGTTGATTTTGCTGCTGTAAGTGTTTATGTTGCTGATGGTGTTGGTGTTGTTGTTTTTACTGTCGTTGTTAGGGGTGCTGTTGATCTGAAGTGTCGACACACCTGGAAAAGTGCTTGGGTAGGTTTTGAGATTTTATTTTTGTTTTCGTTTTTGTTTTTATCTTTTGATATTGCTGCTGTTTTTCTTCTTGATGTTGTTCCTGTTGTTGTTGTTGTTGTTGTTGTTGTTGTTGTTGTTGTTACTGTTGTTGTAGTTGCTGATTTTCTTGTTGTTGTTGTTGCTAGCGGTGTTGATGTTGCTGTTGTTTTTGCTGTTGTTTTTGCTGTTGTTGTTGCTATTGTCGTTGTTGTTGTTGTTGCTGTTGTTGTTGTTATTGATGATGATGATGTTACTGCTGTTACTGCTGTTGCTGCTGGTGTTGAATACTGTTATATCTGCTGTTCTAATCGTTGTTACTTATATGACCTAACTGTGGTGCAAGTGACGCAAAACTCTCCCTAAAAACTAAAGCTAACCTGCGGGGCATCGTGGTGAAATCAGACGCTTGTCAAAATAGTGCAATCGAAGAAACTGGCATGGTCGATCTGTTTGGCAATCTTTATTAAAATTTTATTTTTTGACTCGGTACCTTTAAGGTCAATTAACAATACATTTCTGTGTGCAGTTTCTAAGGACTCTCAAGCTTTCAGAAGTTGCTAAACTTTGTCTGTCATTTTCTTGCTATACCGTTAACTTTACTTCTGAAACCAGGCGACCCGCCACCTCCTTCAATCGCAAATATCTCGACTTCTATTTATGATATTTGAGTATTATTTTCACCGAAAGCAAGACAAATGAACAATTTCTAAAATAATACCAGTAAATCCACATTTGCAAAAATTGATGAACGTCTGATTCCGTGGCGTCGTAACACGGTACAAGTATAAAGCATAGCTCCACTCACCTGCAACATACATTCTCTCAAGAAGCCCTTCCTTTCTCTCAAGTACAAACGACAGTGTTGTTAGGCCTGTCGCAAGGAAAAAGGTGGCGCTGGGAACAAAAGAAAGTGAATGTGTACTATATCTACGTAAGTTAATAATGATATGAATTTATATAATATTAGGTGTATATTAAAATAAATTACCTCCCAAAATCCAACCCTTCGTCCTCGTCGGGGGAGGTGGAAACAGGACAAAGTAGAGGATATCTGGGTCTGGGTGAAGTACGGTGTGACTTTATGTCACTGAGGCGTTACGCTAGCCGTGAAGGCCGACCCGAGTCACCCTGAAACGTTGGTGGCTAAAGGGGCTCTGGTGAAACCGTGACTGGCCTAGCCAGCCGCCGGCGGATAACTACTACTACGAAACAATCAAAGGAGAATACACGGACAGATTCAAACGGAAAACGACCTGGAAAAGTAAACGGACAGCGAGCTAGAACAACGATTAAAATAGGCACCTGGAATGTCAGCGGACTTGGAGACAAAGAATCAGAAATAGTGAATTTCATGGAAAGAAAGAAAATAGCATTCATGGGCTTGTCAGACATAAGGAAGAGAGGCAACCACAGCAAGCTGACCCATAAAGGCTAACTACTGATCTGGAGCGGAACATCTGAAAATGAGAGAGCCAAACATGGTGTAGCTTTCTTCATACACCCAGCCAAAATGGATACAATCTATGAAATCAATCAGATCTCAGAGAGAATAGTGAGCGTAAAACTCATAGAGGATGGCAAAACAACAACGTACATCCAAACATACGCTCCCTGCAACGACAGCTATACAGAGGAAGATAGACAATCATATTTTCAAGACCTGAGTCACCATATTAACACTATCAAGAACAAAGAAAACATATTTATCTTAGGAGATTTAAATGGCAGAGTTGGACCAAGAAGAACCCCCTGGGAAGAGTACTTGGGACCCCACAGCGATAAAAATACAGGCTGCAACAGCAATGGAGAAATGATACTAAACCTTTGATTAAACGACATAATGATTGCGAACACATTTTTCAAACATAGACAAAGCCAAATCAAGACCAGGTACAAATGGAGTGATCTGAGCCATGCATCACAAATTGATTTCATCCTGATGCGCAGAAAAAACAAAAACGTACAGCCAAAGATTCGAGAGCGGTTCCAAATTAAATCTTCGACACGGACCACAGACCTGTGATACTTACTCTCACAGCCAACAATGTAAAGCAAACAAAGAAGAACATTGGAAAAACAACGATTAACCTAAGAAAGTTGGAAGAACCAGACATAAAGAAAGCAGTCGAGAATGACATTACCAAAGAGTACAATAAACTGTCACCTGAGATCAAAGACCAAGAAGACAAATGGCAAATATTTTTAAAATCCGAGTCAGAAATACTGAAAAAAACAGCTGTGGCACCAAACGAATAGGTGGAGACAAAGGCACAACAACAAGCTGGTGGAATGATGAAACCAAAGAAGAAATTAGAATGAAAAAGAAGAAATTCAAGAAATGGCAGAAGTCAAAGACCGAAGAACACTATATAGAATACAGGAAAGCGAGAAGAGAGACCAAACGAATCATCAAAACTGCTAAAGAAAAAGCATGGAAAATATATTGCGAGAAACTGACCAGAATCTGCAAGGAAAACCCAAGAGAATTTTATAAAAGGGGGAAGACCGACATGCATTATATACGACAAAGAGGGAAATGCCATTCTTGGCAATCATGCCGTTATGAAATGATGGGAACATTACTTCCAAGAATTACTCAACCCAGACGCTTGCAACGGACAAGAAGAAGAGTTCCAACCATCATATGGAGATCAAACAGAACCACCAATACTTCCAAGTGAAATTGAAAAGGCACCCAAGACCAGCCCCAAGAACAAAGCCCCAGGACCAGATGAAATCTCAGCGGAAGCCATAAGAGCTCAAGGAAACACCGGTATACTTTGGCTGAGGCGAATTTTCAACAGAGCCTGGGAGCAAAGAAAATGCCCAGAAGACTGGCAGAAAGCCATAGTGGTACCATTATGGAAAAAAGGCAACAAATGCGACTGCACAACCTACAGAGGTATCTTCTTGTTAAGCCATTCAGGAAAAATATACACCAAGATACTAGAGCAGCTCATAAGACCTATTGTAGAGAGAAATCTGAGCAAAGCTCAGTTTTGATTCCGAAAGGGAAGAGGATGCACGGATGCTGTATTTGCATTACGACAGATATGCGAGAAAACAATCGAAAACAACAAAGAATCCAACATCATGTCCATAGACCAGGAGAAGGCTTTTGACAGAGTAAACCATGCAAAACTGTGGCAGTAAGACACTCGAAAAGTATGGCGTCAGAGGACACATGTTAGATAATGTCAGAGCTTTATATATCAACAGCAGAAGCTCAGTAAGAGCGAAGGAAGGCAATACAGACTGGTTCAAAGTAAGATCTGGAGTTCGACAGGAATTCGTTCTATCTCTCCTCCTGTTTATTATATATATGGACACAGTAATGCAAAACGCAAACCAAAGCCCTGAAAACCTAAAGGAATTTCTGTTCGCAGACGACCAATGTCTTATTCATCATGTCCAACAAAACCTCCAAAATCACACTGCCGAACCCAACAACAGCTGTGAGAAATTCAACAGGAAAATAAGCACATCAAAAACAGAAGTTATGAAAGTGAGCCGAAACCATAGTCCCCTGAACATCCATGTCGGTAGTAAACATCTGAAACAGGTGAAGGAGTTTAAATATCTTGGCAGCACTTTTTCTGAAAACAGGTCCATAGACAAGACAGAGAAATACGAAAAATGCAAACTCAAAAAGCCAACGCTGTCACCTACCAGCTGACACCCCACATATCTCATCCAAACATCTCCATGGACACAAAGAGACAGCTTATCACCTCAATATTCATACCAACATTATGTTATCAGTGCCAGACCTGGACTTTAGGCAAAAC